GCCCTTGCGCGAGTAGCCCAGGTTGTTGAGCGGCGTGTGGCACACGATGGCGTCCAGTGCCGCCTGGGTGGCCCGACGTTCATCCCCGGAGAGCTTCTTCCCTGCGAGGACCATCAGCGTGGTGGGGACAAGACCACTGGCCCTTGTCCGGCCAACCTCCTGGCTGTGATTGTCCCCTCTTGGCCTCCCTGGATCTCTGCCCCCCTTTCGCCCCATTTCTCCCCTCTTAGCTACACCCAGAGGCATCCCCAGCCCCTCCGATCCTCTCCCCGCCCTCTCGGTCCCTGTTCCCTCCATCCCCACCGGCCGTGGCAGTCTCGGGCGTCCAGACAAGGCGTACGGCCAAGAAATCCTGCAGGTCATTGAGCAGCGTGTAGGTGACGGTGAAACGTTGCCGGGCTCGCACGGGGGAATCGCAGGCAGCTGTCATCACGAAACGCGGCCGCTCCAGGCGGATGCTTGGCAGCCTGGGGGTGATGGGGAGTGACGACAGTGATGTGGGGACGGCCGCGGGGACGTGGGGTTAGCAATGCGGGATGAGGGTGTGGGGACGAGGACAAGCTCCAGGTCATGAGGTTATAGCACAAGCAGGGACAGGGATATCCCAGGGTCTCCGTCCTAGGGGCAGGAGGATCTAGGGGTCCCCGCTTGGGGACAAGGGCACATCAAGGACCCTTGGGGGGATGGCTCTCACCGGTAATGCGTGTAGATGCTGCGGGTGAAGGGCAGTTTCGGCGTCGACCACTGGATCACGGCCACCAGCGGGACCTCCAAGCCCTGGGTGGGGTACAACGGCTCAGGGACATCCCCGTGTCACCACCGTTCCCAGCAAGGACAGTTTGCAACATCCCCACATCCCCCCAGGCTCCCCGGCAAGGAAAAACACCTGACAAGGACGATCTCCCACAGCAAGGACGGTGGCCCCACATCACAGCCTGGGCAGCCCCATCCACCCCCAGGGAGGACAATGACAGCATCCTGCAGGCCACCAACTGTGACAGTGGCCCCTGATCCTGCCTCAGACAACACCTCCCACCTAGGACGGTCCCTGCCCAGGATGTCCCCCAGCGTCCCCTCATGCCTGGCCTCCGGGTGGTCATCCCTAGCATCCCCCCACCCCAGCCCTGAGGGTCCTCCCACCCTCCCCGGCGTCCCCTCACCTCCTTGGCATCCTCAGGGGGCCTCTCAGGTGCCTGGAGCTGGA